GCGAGCCGAGGGAGGAGGAGGCGTCGCTAGCGTGGTGGGCGCCGGCGGGTCGTCCCGCTTGGTCGAGCCGCGCCCGCCCACGCCGCTCCGCCTCGAGGCTCTCCTCGAGCCTGAGGCGCGCCGCGCCCTGTTTCTCTTGCGCCTCGCGGACGGCCGACGCGAGCAGCTTGGCCTCCTCCAGCTCCTCCGCGCGCTGGAGCTGCTCGGCCTCTCGCCGCTTGCGTGCGCGCGCACGGCGAGAGGCGACGGCAGCCCTCCTTGCGTGGCGGGCGCGCTGGAGCCCATACTCGTCGCGGGCGCGCCTGGCCGTGCGGAGGGCGTGCGCGAGGTTGCCGTCGTCGGAGAGTGCCGCCGCCTCGCGGCATCGCGCCATCGTGCATCGACAGCTCTGAACTGCGCCTCACCACTGACCGGGAAGGCCGCCAAGTGGGCCAGCACAGGTCGCACATTGTGGCAGCAGTCAGCAGTGCATGTCTGATAGCTGGACCAGCAGCGTCACGGTCGCAGGGTCGGATCGTGTCAAGCCTCTCGCCCGGCCGGCCGCGTACAGACGCGTCGGCCTGTGTCTGGGCTGTGATCTGTCGGCGGTCAGTACGACCGATCAGGTCGGAGTTTTCTGATGGTTAGAGGGTCTATCTGTATGTACTCCTCGAGATCTCTCCAAATCTGCCCTCTGTTAGACCGGGTTAGATCGGGAAGTCGGTACCCCTCTCTATCTTTGGATCTCAAAAAATCTTTTTTATCGTCGCGTACCCTATGACGACGTACCCATCCGTCCGGCCCGCCGTCGGGGCGGACGATCGCCTCACCTGGTCCGCGCCGCGTCGCACGACGCAGGCGAGGTCACTGCAAACCAACGCATGCGCGTTGGTCTCATGTCAAAATTCGTTCGCAGTGTTGAGCAATGTACGCCGCAGTACCTCAACTCTGGCACAGTCCTCGAGCATGCTCAGGGCTCCACTGCCAGCCACAAGTCGGCCTCAAAGCCGACTTGCGGCGGCTCGGCAGCAGCACACGGCGCGGCTTCACTGCGCTGGAAGGGCGACTGGCGCCGACAGGTGCCGACAACCCTCCACTGTGCGTGAGGCCGTACACGGGTTGCTTGCTGTGCTGCTGACTCTGGGGAAGCTCGGAGCGGCAGCGACAGCGCTCACCGCCGGTCAGCCCGCCGCAATCGTAGCGGCTGCGCCCGCTCGATTGCGGTTTGTCGCGCCGACCTCGCCGCGAGGCGAGGTAACGGGTCCAGCATGTGCCAATCGCACATTCTGTGCGGTTCCACGTGCACTCATGGCGGCGACGACACGCGGGGGGCTGGGCGTGAGCCGCAGCTCCCCCGGGCCAACGGGGGCCTATCCCGGTCACAGCCAGCAGGGGCATACAATTCCTGTACCCAGAGTTACTTCACCGAGAGTAGCGAGATGCAATCTCGCAGAGCAGCTGCTGATGGCAGCCGGGCCACTGCTGTGGCTCTTCGGCTCTATGGCTCTCCTTGACTCCGTGGTTCGGCGACTGCCCTTCACACCGCAGCCTGCGGCCGCCATCCCAGTAGGCATCCCCGAGTCAGCCTCTGCATGGCCGCCCTCCTCTCACCACGCCTCTGCGCGCTTACACTCCATCCACCAATGCCCGGTGCACACACGGTGATTCACACCCTCTCACGAAAAACCGCGCTCCTGCTGCCACGGATAGCTCGCAGGAGGCGCATCAGCGCTTTCAAACGCGCCCGCAGGCACGCCCGCAGGCGCGTCAACAATGTCCCAGTGCCCACCCACGGCTGCGAGTCGCCCAACCCCGCACGCACGGTCCCAACCACAAATGGACCCCGTCTCGCGTTCCCCACCCCCGCCGAGTGACAGCCTGCCGGATGAGGCGCCCTAGGGCTCGCACTCAGCCCAACAATCAAGCCAGTCACTCGGGGTGCCAACACTAACTCAACCGCCGAGATCGACCCTATGCAAGCGACCAGGCGCAAACAGGCGCAAACAGACCTCGGTCTGAGGCGCGCCACACCGCCTTCGGCACTCGCCCGCGCCCGCGATCCCTCGGACGCGTTCCACCCGCGCCCTCACCAACCAAATCCCTCGCCTGAAGCACGCTGAAACCGCCAACGCGGCCGATATCACGCGAGATAGTCAGAGCTGACACACAGCTCCATTCACACCTCGAGACCAGAGGCGACTACCACGCTCGACAAAGCCCCGGAACCCGTCCCCACCACCGCTTGCCTACCCTCCGCGTACGGCGACACCCCGACACGCCACCTCGGCAACACCCCAACATCGGCAGGCAAGATTCACGCCACGACGGGCAGGCAAGATTCACGCCACGACGGCGCCCCACCCACACAGACTGGACAGGCCTGCTCTCGGAGAGGGGGGCTAGGGGGCCAAATCCACGGCCACAACCCCCTAGAGGCAATGGAGCTGAGAGAAGGCGCTCGGCTGCAAGGGTAGCAGAGCACCACTCCTACGCCCACGCCCCCTCAAAGACGGCAGAAACAGTCACACGCAATTAGTACATGGCCCAGCTCGCGCCATCGCCCACACTCGAGCTTTGCAGCGCGCGGGCTCACACTCTACTATAGGCCCCCTCGACGCCCACTTCGAGTTCTACTCAGCTAAGGGCCGCACTTGACGCTGTAAGCAGCGCGCGGCGAAGCAGTTTGGCGCTTGTGGTGAAATATGGGAATCTAGCCCAAGGTCGGAGAGT